CCCCCCCCCCCAGTACCCATTAGATAAGGAGGGTGGATGGGGCCCGGAACTGATCTCGACGATGTGGAGAAAAGAAAATTCTCACCCCTATAGGGACTTGAACTCTGACCTCTTGGCTGTCCCGCCTGTTGCCAAAAACTATACCAGCTGCACTAGTTGATTTCAGAATGCATGCTTACCTGTAAGTGTATGCAGCCTAATTGTAATGAAATTCTTTATTGGGATCTGTCCTAACACAACAACTGCATGTTTCGTCTTTTAAAGCCATCATCAGACAAGTACGTGGTTACTACACTCACTATTGAACTGCATTTCAATGTAATGGTACAGTGGAGCTGGATACTTGACAACTGTTACACTATAATAATACAAGGTATAAAAATACAATAAAATTATGAAATTATTGTAAAATGGAAGTTATACAATAAAATATGATTAAAAACTATTCATGTAATGCTTCATAGTATGAAGTCAGTTGTTGCGATCTTGTTATTATATTCCAGCGGACGTATAGTGGTACATTCATAACTTGTATACATATAATTAACTGCTTGGAGCCCGTGGTGTCAGTGTAGTATTATTTGGTAGCTAAGGTGATATTGACCTAGACCGTTTCGTTGTTGTGTTACAATGGATCCCAATAAAGAATTTTATATAATAAACACAACAGGTTGCACCCAATGAAAAAAATAATGACTTCATTTCTGATGTACCCGGTTTGAATTCCAGCCAGGGCTAGATCAATTATAGAGCCTTGGAGACTCAGTTGCATGAAGGAAGATTACAGAAATGTATATTCATTTCATACCCTTAGTACATTCACACTAACATTGCATGGCATGTACCAAGTAGCACTGCCAGTCACTTTACACCTTTCTGGTGTTTTAGTATTCCACAGAAATGGTATGGGCACTGCTTTGTGTATTAAAATTGGCAAATAGTATGTTCTGTATATCATTAAATTTGTTACCAGATGCAATGTAAACTCACAGATGCACTTTGAGGACCAGGAGACATTCACCCATTCAAGGGGTGTTAGCTAATTGGTAGCTTTAATGCTTCTAGATGAATGAGACATTTTACTTTTTGGGCAACAGGTATACGTCTAAATGAAAGTTTTATGATAGTTTTCAGTAATTTGTTTTTAACGCTGTACTAATTCTGTATAAGTGGAGGATAAAAAAAGGTAAAGCTATCCCTGTAACAGGCCATTGAGGCCCATAGGGTTGTGAGATGTCGAGACTCACAAATTTTCTAGATGATCAGTTCACAGATGGCAGTGAGGTTGTCAGCCTTAGCACTGGCCACCCTTTATCCCCAGGGAGATTCCTGGTACTCATTTCTGTTAGAGGCTGAGTCAATCCCAGGGCCATAGTGAACCCAGAACCTTCTGGTTTGTGGCATCGTGCGTCAACCACCTATGTTACTGCGTGCTCCTGTGCATGGAAGTATACAGAATTGAATTTGTATGCCATCCTGTTAGAAGAAGTTAGTGAATTGTTTGCTTTTAGGCAATACCGAAGAGAGACTCTCAACTTGCTGATAATGGAGATGAAGAAATCCTAAAACCTCTTAGTCTAAAACCAGAGCTAGTAATCAAAGGCGGTCCTGCAGTACGGCATTATCATATCCTTAATGACAAACGGCACATCCTCACGAAGGACACTGAGAATAATGTTATGGTTTATGATGTACTCAAGGTAGGTAAGTTAAAAGGTGCCTTTTCTTCTTGTTTATAGTTAAGCATCTTATAAAATTTGTTTATGAACTTTCTGTCAAGTGCAGTGGAATCATTGACATGTACAGAATGAGAACTAGTGTTTTGTGATGTACAATGGTCACTGTGTATGATATGTTTACTCCAGTAATGTAAGTACTTCCAGGCTTGTAAACTAGATGACCTGGGTCAAGCTGACTTTGAAGAAGAAGTGAAGAAAAGATTTAAAATGGTGTATGTTCCAAATTGGTTCAATGTGGATTTGAAAACAGGGGTGAGTATATCTGGAGTTATAAATTATTTTTTCCTTTTATCTCATTAAAAGTATATGTTTAAAGTGAAAAGTGTGGACCTTAATGAATCCTAATTCTTATCTTACATATGAAGTACATGTAAAGTGATACAGACTAAAATGAAATTATCTGGCAACCTTCAGTGTAGATCCCCGATATGAAAATTAATTTAAATTCTTCAAGAAATTTCAGACATATAATTTTATAGCTGTATAATCAGTGTCCCCAGTAATGTACTCATGTCAAGGAACTTGTAATAATGTAGTTTTGTATGATTAAGTAGGTTTTTTTTTTCTTTCCAAAATTAATAGGAAGTAATTGTTCAGTTAAATTTGACACTGTTGACATAAACATATTGAATGTAGTAGTTCTGGAACTTTGGCTTCACATATGGGAGATCCCATGTTTAAATCTTTGCATAGAGACCAGCTACACTGAGATTTTTGCATGGATTTCCATAGTCTCTTCGTGGAGATAGTACCGGAAAATAGGTTGTAACTGCTTCCTTGCCAGTTCCTCATTTAGATTAATTTTGCTGTTCATCACTGTAACTTGTTGGGTTTGAACTGACTGGGTGTTCATTTCTTTCATGTTTCTTTGTTGATGTAATGACTTGATAAATAAATATGTGAGCAATAAATAAATTTATGAAAATAAGTTGAATGTATGAGGGGTAGGCCTTCTCGGCCCTTGCACCGCAACCTACAGTGGTCTGTTGTGCTTATGAAAATAAGTTAATTTGGTTTTATAGATTGATATTCTCCATATGAAGACAATACTGTGGTAATAATTTTATAAGATACATACATGTATAAATAGCATGTGAAACACTTAAATCAAGGAAATTTAGTTATTACACTGTGCATAACAGTGAAATATAAAGTAAGTAGGGTTACTGATGGGGACGATTTTGTATTGTATAAGATTTAATTGGTGTGATTACTTTTTAATATATTGATGACATAAACAGTGTCTTGCCACACTAAATAATATGGTGTTATAGTTACTTGTGATTGTTGCAGATGCTGACCATTCACCTAGGTCAGGATGAGAATGATTGTTTTTCTGCATGGGTGTCTGCGAGGGAAGCTGGTCTGGCTCCCAATGATATGGTAGATCAAAAAGGTATATAATTTTCATTTCTTTACCTTTTTTTTTTTTGTTTTATATATTTTTTACTTACTTCACTGTCCCCTCTGTCACTTCAGTTCTGGCATGGTCACCACAATTCATCCCGCCTTTGTCCCCATACCAATTCATTTTATCATCTTATGTTAGTTCAGTGTAATTTCAATTTAAATTTGATCATAATTCTTTCAGTTAAGCTTATAATATCTGGTACCAGTGAACCACAGAAGTTTAATATTATGTTTGAAATGTTGCAGTCATATTGATTTTCATATTGTAGAGATATTTAAGTAATAAGGCAGTTAATGCTATCATATTAGTCTGGGCAGCAGTAGCTCACAGCATTTGAAAATATATGAACCTCAAATTTTAGGTACAAAAAGTTGGGGTACTTTTTTGTTCCTTCCATTTTTCCTGCATGTTGTCTCACGCAGTATTCCTTTTAGAAGGTTATGTTAAGCAACTGCTAGATATAATATGAAGGAAAGATTGTATACATTAGTAGTGATTCTTGATTGATACTGTATAACCTAATGAAATGGGCAATTGCATATTGTCATGTGTATGGTGGTACGCATGACGAAAATGATGGCTTGTAGTTCAGATGATTTGATTTATTGGCACTTTGGTTACAATCTCTCATAATCACATTTACTACAGTGCTCTTGCTGCTTTACATTTTATAATTCACTGTTACATACACACTGGTCCTCTCCTGGTAATGCAAGTAAAACACAGGAACTAGCGCTTCAGATCACTCCAAATATTACACGTGAATACAGTCTTCTAATTGCACTTCAAATCTTCACAAGTTGATGAACCTTCGTGGCTGTCTCCTACCAAGAACTGAGAACTCTCACTCACTCTCCTTCTGGTTATAATTCTCTCTGAACTTGACGCTCACATCTCTTGTTATATAGCCACAGCACGGACCACATAAGAAACACAGTTCTATTGTTGGTGATGCAGACCACACAGAAAACACGCCACGTGATATCTCGTCAGTCTATTGGTGCACTGACTGTCGCCTAGCAACGAGCTGTATATAAACATTCATGTTATTGTTGTAACACACTCAAATGAAGGTTGGTTACAGGTCATTGCCTAGAAACGCTCTGGCTATCCACGTTATGTTATATTTATTTTTAGCAAAATATCTCTGTGTAGAGACACAGTTTCACTTAACGTATGGATCTGATTACTCTGTTGCAGTGAATTATGGTAATTTGCTGCTTCAAGCCTTGTTAGAACACTGGTGGAGACCTCTACAGGTGGACGAAGATACTGAATGTCAAGGAGACCATCAAGGAACAGGACAGACACGGGGAGGAAATGAATACTTCTCTGTACCTGGCCACACACCAGTAATATTTAGGTGTATCTCTCTTCCACCAAATTACATCTAAATAACTTGTTCATTATTCCAAATGTTATGGTATACTTTTTGTATCTGAGTAGGATATCCTGGATTTGAATCTAGTCTTGGAGGCAGTGCACTTAGACTGAAATATTCTCTGGTTTTCCTTATTCCCTCCAGAGAAATTCTGGGATTGTACCATGGAATAGAACACTACTATTTTGCAATTCACTATTCACATTCACATTCTTCATTCACATGGGCACTGTGAATGAAGAATCATTAGATAAACCAGTAAAAATCCCACATTTGCTTGTGTGGAACCCACAGACTCATCAGAGTTTAACAAGAAATTCTCAGTGCACCAGAAATATGCTTGCCCATTTTCAGTGGGTAAGTACACTTCTAGCATTTGTCTGAAATCATTAAAAATGGTAAATTATTGATTAGAATGTATAGGATCCATCAGCAAATTCAATGCATATTACAATCCATTCCTGTAACATGACATAACATTTTTCCTGAATCATTTGACTCCCAAGTTAACAGGTGATTGACCAAAAGTTCTGCAAGACTGGAGTGAAATGAGACAAGATTGTTATGGACATACACTGAAAGCTCAACTTTGTTGAGTCCTTGTACTTACCTTTGAAGAAACTATAAAGAACATGTTAAAAGAATTAGCTCTGGTAGGCATCCATGAAAATTATAAAACATCAACAAAGAGGAATAAATTGCTTAGGAATATCTCTAAGGAGATGAAGAGATTCTGCTTTTTTCAGTTTTTGGATGTCCTATCATAGTATGTTTTGACCTTATATGCACAGTTTTTGCATTGTTTTTCATGTATTTAAATATTAATAATTTTCTTTCTTTCCAGTGAGGTTGGAGGTCGGACACTGTATCGTTTGCTCGTCAGGGATGCTGGGGGAGAGACTGAAGGTGTTCTGCTCAATGAGACTGTGCCTCCTTGGGTAGTGGATATTGTTGTAGAGAAAAACTTGCCAAAATTTATAAAAATCCCCTTCTACTTACAACCGCATGTATCATCAGGCGTTAAAAGCCTTAAGAAGTGAGTAATTTGATCAGAATGTGCTTTCTGTGGTCAGTGTATGCATGTTACAGCATGGTTACCTTTGCTAGGATGAATGAATGAATGAATGAATGAATGAATGTATAAGGGGTGGGCCTTCTTGGCCCTTGCACCGCGACCGCAGTGATCTGTTGTGCCTTGTGGCTAGGATATGATACTTTTCTGTTGGCAGTAGCTTTCTGGACTCCTCATGTTTACTCTGTATGACTGAAACTATCATATTAATTCACATAATTCATGCACATTCTCTAGATTTTGAATCATAAAGTTGGGGAGCATAAGTTAACTCCTGAATAAGAAGTTTCTTGAAAATATTTTTGGTTATTCAGGTGGTCAAGAAATTCCTTCTTATATGGAACTTGTGATTTCATTATCATTTTTACAAACAAACTAAGGTGTCTGTGGTGGTAGTGAGTACGGAATGGAGCGGTGGAAAGAATGAAAGGACTTGAAACAAGTGTGTCTTGGTTCAGTTATGTACATGGCTGTATAATGTCTGATTTTGCAAACATGATTCATTTATTAAAATTCATTATATACATTTTTTCAGTTAATATCTTTTCAATTTAGCTGTCCAAAAAGTTAAGAGGAAAGATGTGATAAGCTAACAACCCTCTGCTATCAAGAAACCTGAAGGTCCATCATGGCAATGGCAGTTTGCCACTAATGATTATTCTCTTGTCTTCCAAACATTTTTTTTTTCTTCATATCTCTGCATTCATGTATATGCATAGCCCATCCTCCGGTATGCTAATGTGATTTTAAGGAAAGAACATAAATGTTTGGAGATGTGGCATTCAGAGGACAAGGAAACTAAATCTTACTTAAGGGAAATTTATGTAAAAGGTAAGGTAAAGTTGTCCTTGTGCTTAACTGATAAAGCACTGCGCCATGAAGATGTATGAGGGAGTGGATGTATAGGTCCACATTTTCTTGACCTGAGCACTAGCTGGAGGTGAGTGGTCAGCTTCACATCCCTGCCGCTTTACCCCCAGGGAAAGAGCCCCTAGTACCCATTGGATAGGAGGCTGGATGGGCCCCAGAGTCAGTCTGGATGATGTGGAATAGAGAAAATTTTTGACCCTACCAGGACTTGGAACTGTGACCCCTCAGTCATCCAGCCCGTAGCCAGCCGCTATACCGACTATGCTATCCTGGCCTTCCAGGAAATATATGTATACATCAAAGTTGTTACTGAAAATGTGCAGAATATCAAGTTTTCTGGTTCATTTAATGGAAACGTCCAAAATGACACATATTTTGTTCACTGAACAGATTTAAATATTACCTTTGGTATCCATGCAGAACTGATGATTAATTACACTTTTTTTTCCAGGACTTCATGTGTTAAGGTAGGCATTCTTTTTGGCTTTGCCAGATGTTATATTGGGATAATATTGTGATCATGATGTGTGGTTTCTATATGTTCTGTGAAACCTAATATTTTCCATTATTTCAAATACAGGGTTATTAAAAAAGAATGAACCGATTTTATTATGCAATATTTTATTAAAGGAAAGTAATACAAAACTCCAGCCAAGTCACAAGGATTCTACTCACAATCAACTTTTATTTCCTGTCTTACAAGTGTTCAGTGTGGCCACCACCTGCAGCAAGGGCAACATCAATACGATAAGAGAATTCCTCCCAGGCGCGTATCAGCATATCACGATGCACTGAGTTAATCGCTGTTGTTATTCGATGTTTAAGGTCATCGAGGTTAGTGGGTAGTGGTGGAACATAAACATGATCTTTTACATATCCCCATAAGAAGAAATCACACACGGTGAGGTCTGGCGATCTCGCAGGCCAAGCACAAAGAGCAAGGTCTTGGGCGCACTTCCGACCAATCCATCGCTGGGGCACTTTTTCATTTAAATTTAAAGTTCCAGGGGTACCCGCCCTATGTCTATAGTGCTGCAGCGACTACTTCTTGTTTTCAGCACTCTTCAGGTATTATTCTGTATAGGCTCCCTGTGTGTTTGCCGCTGCTTATCTTTAATACGTGTATTAAAGTTAATTAATTATTAATACATATTAAAGATAAGCAGCAGCATGCACACAGGGAGCCTACACAGAATAATACCTGAACAGTGCTGAAAACAAGAATTAGCCACTGCAGCACTATAGACATAGGGCGGGTACCCCTGAGAATTTTAAATTTTAAAATTTGAAAAAATTTTAAATTTTAAAATTTAAAAACATTTTAAAGAAATTTTTAAATTTGAATTGAAGATTTTAAAAGTGCCAGTTTTTCAAAATCAAATTGACGTGTGTAGGTTAACAAAGATTTTGTACATATCTGACATATCAGCGGGGAGGATTCTGATATATCGAAACCTGTTAGCAACAGAGAAATGAACAACTGGGAAGACTAGTGTTTTTTAAACTTTAAACTACGTGCAGTGTAGCAGCTACATGAGAGTATACACCTGATGATGGCCATTTGCGGCCGAAACGTAGTGTAGAAGAAAGGAAGACGAAAGAACTACAATAAATTGTTGCGTTTATGACGGAGTTTGTGTCATATATTGTGTAGAGTGTAACAGGATGCTTAGATATGATATTCTTTTACTTCACTGATTACTTTAAATTTTTTACAAACATTCAAGAATACAAGTATTCTTAAAATTTCCTTTTTAATAATGAATTCTGCCACGAAATAAAATGCTTGAAACTGAAAGAAGTTTGTATTATGTATGTGATATCTCAGTTCAGGTTTAATAACATGTACATTAATTGGAATTAAGTATGTTAATGATGAAGGATACTGTAGCAGAGTTTCACTCCATGTATTTAGAATTCGTGCAGTGGACGTATTTCAAGTTGTCTATGAAAGGGATGAATGTCACCCCTGTGCTCTTCTTCTTGTCTCTTTTAAGACAAAAGTACGAAACATTTCAGAGACCGTTTGATTGCCAATGACTTCATCCAGGTCCGTAAGGTGGCTGAACATGTGTATGAGAAGGTGCTGGGAGCAGGTTCAGAGTCTGGTTCTGTAGCAGGTCCAAGTTCCCCTGGGACAGAACGCACTGATCCTGAGCGCCAGGAAACCGGTTCTATAACTGAAGATAGGGTTGAACTCCTTTGTAATGACCAGGTATCTTTTTCATTCAGTGAACTTGCTTATTTGGAATAGTTTCTTCTCATATTCTAATAATGTACTACATATCGTGTTTGGAATTCATTGTGCAACATCAGTAGAGTTGTATTGTTTTTAAAGACATTCTGAAAGTGTAGTATGGCATTCTTTGCCAGTTGGTGTATTTATTATTGTTGAGACAAGGGAGTATGCATTTTTTATGAGGAATGTTTGCCAGATTTTAAATTTTTAATTTAAAAATTATGATCTCTAAACTCCATGTTCTGTAAATAGAATCTAGTGTTAAGCTAATGAAACTAAAGGGAACATTTTGTTGAACATGTTCTGGGCACTATCAGTACCTTCTGAATTTATTTGGTGCACAGATGTATAAAATTTGAAGTATACCTTTTTATTATATATACATACAGATCAACGAGTGTGAATTTCCTTTTTGGGGGGGAGCAGTGTGTCTGAATACTAAACTAATGAAACTCTAAAATTGAGGAAATTTATCACTGAAGTTATTGTCTTGGGACAATTGAAATTGAGTATTAAATAAGGGAAAACCTTAAATCTTGGAATATTATATGGGGGTTCCAGTGTAAATGGTAATCTTGTTATAGTACAAAATCCTGTAATGAGATGTTTCTTTCTTGTGTATGTGGAAATACGCGTAGAGTCGCTAAAGTATATGTGTAATCACCAAGTGAAAGTTTTGATAGTGTTCTTTGACTTGCATATCAGTTGGAACTAATTTTATGTATATATGTGAGTATGCATGTGCGTGCAGAGGATGTGTGTGTGTGTGTGCACGCTCATGCATGTGTTTTTTTTAAGTTCATATTTAATATTTAGCTATTGTATATTAAAAAGTATGGTCTTCAGGGTTGTAATGCCACGTAAAAAGTTCACCATTTTAGAGGAACATATCCTCCCCATCTTCAGGGTCCAAGAGTAAGCCAGACAGATAACTATCAAGAAGCAGGCAGCAAGCAGAGTATGCCTCATGCAGGTTTCTTGCTTGACTTACTCTTTGACCCTGATGATGGAGGCAGTGTATTCCTCTGAAATATCATGCGTTTTATGAACTATGTGGCATTACAACCAAGAAGACCATATTCTTCATAGTTGATTGCTGTGAGAACTTATTTTGACATGATTCCTTTAAAGTTGTTACCCTTTCTGTTAGCTAATGTTGACATAATAGTGAACACCTATGCTCTCAAAACTCACCATCTTCTATATATTGTGTTATATTCCAGCACTGGCTCTTGTACAGGTGCAGTGTTTTTCAAATAAACTTCTGGCATAGAGTCTGCTCAGAATAAATTTACATATATTTGGAATAGTAACATGTTCCTAATGATATCTTGCCTTTGGTAGGTTTTGGATTCCAATATGGATTTGCGGACCGTAAGACATTTCATCTGGAAGTCTTCAGCTGACCTGACATTGTATTACCGTCCTCTGAAATAGGATCGGAGCTGTCCAGGAGTGTCCTGGCTCATTGGTAAGAGAAGTAGTTGATGACCAGGTTATAAAACCTTCTGTTGTTACTACCAGGGCATGCAGTGATTTCCTGGGGAGAAGAAAGCAACAATGCATTGAGAATTGTATCAAAAAGAAAATACTTGGTATAGTTTTGTTGCTAGAAAAATATAACAAGGGAGGAGAGAAAATTTGAGAACTGAATATATATGGAATTATGGGAAATTATATTTAATGGTGGGAGATCTCATTTTGTGGGAATGTATATTAGGGATGGAGTAGATGTTCATAATGCAAATAAAAGAAGTTAGATATATATGTAAGAAATGTCATTCTACAGGGTTATTACAAATGAAATATACATTTTTAGAAATTTATTCTGAATGAACTAATTGTCTTGTGAAAGTTATATTATTGTCAGTTGAAACAATAATTGAAATAGCTTTGTGTTTGAAGTTGGAAAAAGGTTTAGGTTAAGAAGACAAACATTAAGGTTCTTCTAAATGCATATAAAGAGTTTCTGGGAGATCAATTGGCCATGAATGTATTGCATCATTATCAACTGAAGTCAGTGACTTCAAATTTTGAATCTGAGAAACCATTCATTACTGGCAAAAGGAACATGGCAAAAAGTTTGGAATGGTGTCCTGCATCATTTGGAAGTTATCAGTAAAACTCATATGAGTATCTGTGATGTAAAAGAAATGCTTCCATTTGCATTGATGCTAATATAACTTGCAGTTTGTTCAGAATGAATTAGAACTATATACTTCATTTGTAATTGACCTGTATATGAATAGGTATTGGAAGGGTCAAATTGTATGGACTGAAGACACTTACAGTGTTAGTATTGACTCTCTTGTCTTCCCTTATTTTAGTACTGCAAGACTGTATTGAAAGTAGAATGAGAATTGTATTATTTTCAAATAAATTATTAATTAATTGGAATAAGTAATCAATCCAGGCAGTAGAAGTGCTGTTCACAGTATTCAACACTAAATGTATGTATGTCTGTAGAAATGCATATAATCAAAACGAGAAATACTGATAAGGGAGGAAGCATAAAATTATGTTGCAGTGACAGGAAGAAATAGATCACTGAAAATACTAATGGTTGTAAAAATACTGTATTTTCCTGATAAATCTGATACCAAGCTTATAAGCATGAAAAAAGAAAACTATAAAAAAAAATCTGTTTTACAGTTGTAGCTGAGCTAGAGAAGCTACTGACCATGCATTGGATGGCAAGGGTTTGATCGCTGGGAGGGATTTTGGGAGTCTTTTCTTTAGAACCATGTCTGAGATAGCTCTGGGAGTTGATTCAGCTTGACATATGGGGAAATGGGCCCTTTTCCTAATTGTAAAGGTGACCACAGAACAACATAATGTGCCAGCTGTTGATGTCAAGACAATACTAGCAAAGCTGATGCATAAATTTCAAAATATCTGAGAAATGTGATACAGCTGTTTGGGCAGAGCAGCTGATTGTATCTTAGTGGTGATCATATTTATCAGTAGGTTAATAATTGCTGTGTATGAATATATTAGCGACTAAAATGTGCATTTGATTTGTTTTTACAATATTTGACGTTTCACTCATGGTCCCACATCTCTGGCTAAAATATAAGTTTAAATTTTCTGTCTGGATGTTTGTAAGTCCTTTATTTCTTCCTGTGTGTACAATATTAATTTTAAGTGTGCAAAATTAGTATTTTCATAGTAAAATATTCTCAGACTACTATATGAATGTTAGTTAATGTGGTATTCATAGAAGTTTGTGTCTGTTTTAGTACTGATAATATGACTGTTTACAACTTTATTCTGAAAATTCTGTTACTTTTAGGACCATCATGATGATATTTTGTTGTATTACAATTTAATGATGTATATTGAATCATAATTACATTCTGACATCTCATTGCTTCATTGTTTTTGTCATTTAGTTTAAAAGTGATGATTGAATTATCCATCACCAGAAGTTCACAATAATCCTGACTATGTGTGTTTATGAAAATAAATTTGTTATTATTATTTGATTTATATGAATAATTATGAGTATAAATTTTGTACTGCATGCAGCAATATCAATAATACCGACTCCATATATTCATAAAATTTAAGATAGCGACATGTTAAAGAAAGTATCCATTTTTATGTTGCATAATTTGTCACTAACGTAAAAAGAAAGCTTTAGTGCCATAAGTGCAAATTACCACACAGTCTACCTTATATACTGTTTATAGTTAGAATGAACAAGTGAATCCCCAACACAATGTCTGTAGGATTGAGGTTCTCAGATTGTTGGTTATGTAGAGTTCTGTCTTCTGGGATATAACTCCGTGTAGTTCATTAAAGTCAACTAATGCTTCAGAGGAATGTGTCCCCACATCTCATCTGCAGGATTAGTCAATCAAGAAACTAGCATGAAGCAAGCAGAACTCTGAAGGTAGGGTCAAAATGTTCCTCTGAAATATCAGTTGACTTTCAGCAGACTACATGATGTTCTGTTACAGAATGCAGAACTCTTCAGCAGAATGTATATCATTTTATTTTGCAAATATTTTCTGTCTATTCATAATTTCATACAGTACTGTGCATGCAGCATGTCCATATTGTTTGCCAAACTGTCGATTTCCTGTTAGATAGTCGTTACACAGTGAAACAAAGATACAGCATATTCTTAAGGAATTTCAACATTCTATTTCAGTACCCGGCCTAAACACACTCAATGCTTAATATTATTTGTATAAAATCATTAACCATAGTATGTAAATATTATAAGACTTTAATTTTTTAGATATGAAAATGGAGAAGAAACTTGTGTTATTTTTGGGTTGATGCATTCTTGACAATTTTTTCTCTGTCACCATGTCCATAACTGCTCTGGAGTCCACTAATGGTTATCCTTGGGCAAAAGCAGCTGAAGGGTGAAGGTGACTGCTGTAGGCTGTATAATTTATGGAGTTTTACATCCTGTCTGCTTTTTGATCTCTTTGCGTGGTACTTGACACAAGGGAAACTGTATCTTCCCCATCTCAATTTGATGTTTTTTAATTTAATTAATGAAAATTTCTTAGCCAGGATAGCTTAGTCAGTACAGCAACTAGGTAATGGGCTGGACAGCTGAGGAATCAATGTTCAGTTCCCAACAGGAGCCAGAGATTTTCTCTTCTCCATAGCATCCAGACTGGCCCTGGAACCCATAAACCCACCCAGTCCTATGACAATGGGTGCCAGAGTCTGTTTCCCCAGGCATAAAATGGCAGGGGCTTGAAGCTGACCACTCACTTCTTTCTAGTGTCAAGGTTAAATATGGTGGACCTCGATTAAGTATATGGATAATTTTACCTCCATATTTAGTGAAAGTTCAAAATCTCAGGGAATGGAATGTCTGAAAATAGTGCTGTGATATAGGTACATTCCACATAAAAATGGGATATCTTTCCACTATAATCTTATGTTTCTCTTAATCATGCAAGATAGATTCTAGATGGAATCTTATAAGTTTCCTCTCCATATAAAATTTGAACCATCCTGACGTCATCACATCAGCATACCATTACACAAAACTTACATGAAAGAATGCACAAATAACTTTTGTTTGATACTGAAGTCTGAAAAAATTTGCATATACAAACAGTTAACTATTTTGCTGTGCAATTATTGACATACTTTTGGACAAATGATCTCTGTTATTTTCTTTTTGGTCAGTGTACAGCGTAATGTATTCAGAAAGATATTTTTATCTGCCAGCAACAAATGTATTACTCTTCAATGAATAGTTCCTGTTCTTATTCATATAATTATGGCATTATATAAGACCAGTTGCTGAATGGTTGTATTGCTGATAATTGATATTAGCACCAAGAAAATCTTTTCCATTTAACTTCACACAATTACTGCATTATAATTACATATTTGTAAGTTGATAAAAGTAATTTTTTTAAAGAAAGCTAAGCTGATGCAAGTATGTTTATCTTCAGAAGGTAACATTGTACTGTAAACATGTTTTAAATTAGCTGGAGTATAAGTTAAAAAATCTTTTCAAGGCTGTAGTTTAAGTATTTTAATTATGATTCTGTACTATTTCATAGATGATTTTGTGTACCAATAGCTCCAAGTACATGTTTGGAATGTGAGGTCATTGAGCTCTTGTTGATGACATGAAGTTGTTATTCTCAAATGAAAGCTCATATGTAAGGCAAGAAATTATTAACTAACCCCTATCATTCCTAAGAAAATAAATGACTTCTTTTCCATATTTTCATGGTTACTTTTTATTTTATATTGTTAAAATTAACAAACAGTTTGGTTTCTGAATTCTAAAGATAACAGAAGAGGTTTCATTTATTTAACAAATAGCAAACATATTTAAGTGAGAAAAGAATTATGTTCTTAAACAGTTAAAGGGTTTAAAAATGTAACCCTTCCAGTACTAAGTAGAAGGCTCCAATGTATAAGCCTGTGGTGGTAAATTCCAGAATGATATGTAAATGGTGGAAAATAATCTTAATATGGAAAGTAACATGAAAATAAAAATATAAAGATTTAAAATAATCAGTAGTGAAGGTTGCATTTGTCTATGTTATTAAATTTTGTTCATTTTTATGTTGCTTCTGATAATTTGTATTAAGCATGTAGAATTGGTGAAGATGATGATAATCAAAATATGTAATGGAGTAAATGGGTAATTTAGGATATTACATAATGAGGAACTTCATGGTTTATTCAGGTCACCTAGTATTAGATAATGAAATCTATTTTCATGTATTTGTTTATGGTTTTAGATAATGACATTTTTAAAAGTTCAAATTACATAGGGTCAAATAATTTTATAGTGAATAATGAATTTGACAGGATGTGGAAGGAAACAGACTTGTCCTATGTGCAGTTTCAGATTCTCAACAGTGATGAGTATAGTGAGGACTTTAAACTGGGATGAGATACCATGTAGTTGGTAGAAGTTTACCAGAGTTTTTGAGGAACGTACGTCCTCCATCTTAAGATTCAAAGCCAAGCAAGCAGCACTAACTTCTATCAGACTACACGGTGTCAAATCCCATAAAATAGTATTGTTCACAGGTATGGCCTATTTTAAGATAACTTCCTGACATTTATGTGGGAGGGGCCAGAGTCAATATTGAAAATCTTAGTCAGAATTGCTGATCCCTGGACTAAGATTTGAAATCAAGACCTTGGAATACAAAGCAGGAATGTGAAAAACTTGTTAGCAGTATGTGGTACTGAAAATTAGAAGATTGACATGGGCTGTGTGTGTGTGTGTGTGTAGCTTTTTTTTTTTTATTATTATTTGATGGCTGCTATGAGATGTAAGCAAAATATTACAAAGACTGGTTCGCTTGAACTAACAATCTGTTTTAATTTGACACTAAGTTACTAAGATTATATGAAGTTAAATTCACCCATCGGATCCCTCAGCTGTCAGGCTGCTTGGCTAGTTCGTAAGGTTTGGTCCGTTTGAGTCACCTAGTTAGGTTTCCTACATTTAGGAGCTTGGACGCTTCTTCATTGACGTGTTGTCGAAGTCGGTTTTCATGTTAGGTGGTGTATCTTGCAATAATGGATGCGACTGTTTCGACATCGAGGTCTCGATGGAGGTCCCTGTTGCGTACACACCAGGGCGCATCTGCTGTGCGTCTTAGTACTTTGTTCTGGTATCGTTGGATTACTTTGATGTTGCATTTTTTCGCACATCCCCATAATTGGATGCCATATGTCCGGACTGGTCACAGCATTTGTTTATACAGGAGCAGCTTGTACATTGACAGTTCTGATCGACGTCCGATCAGCCAGTACATTTTTCGAAATTTGATTTGCATTTCCTCTTGCTTCCTCTTAATATGCTCCCTCCATCGGAGTTTAGCATCAAGTATCATTCCGAGGTACTTTGCTGTGTTGGCAGGTGGTATTCTTACTCCATTTAGTGAGATTGGTCGCTGATTAATATTTTGGTTGCTGTACGTATATTTGGTTTCATTGAGCTTGATATGCCATTTACGTGTCCAGATGGTGATATTATCAGCTGCTGATTGCAGTTTTGTTGTTGATTCCTTGAATGTGTTTCCTGTCGCCATCGCTGCGGTGTCATCTGCAAATGTGGCAATCATGCAGTTTGGTGTTTGTGGTGCATCATTGATATAAAGTAAATAGAGGACCAGTCCCAGATCGCTTCGGCTCGGATTTCTTTTAATTCTGAATATGTATCTTCGTGTTTGATGCGAAATTTTCGCTCCTTTATGTATGATTTGAGTAGCTGATAGTACGAATCAGGAAGAATCGATTTTAGTTTATGTATCAGGCCGTTGTGCCATACTCAATCAAATGCTTGTGCTATGTCGAGAAATATTGTTGAGCATACTTTTTTATCTTCAAGAGATTTTTCTATGACATCGGTTATTCTGTGCACTTGGTCAATAGTTGAGTGCTTACTGTGAAACCCAAACTGGTGGGATGGGACAAGTTGGTATTTTTCGATGTTTGGTTTGAGATGTTTCAGGATCAGTTTTTCGAACAGCTTCGACATAATCTGTAACAGTGCAATTGGCCGATATGATTCTACTTCATTGTGGTTTTTACCAGGTTTTGGTATCATAATTATTTCTGACATTTTCCAAGATGCTGGTATGTGCTTTAGTCTGATTGAGGCATTGATTAGTGTGGTTAGTTTTACTAAGGCTTTTCTTTGAAGTTTTTTAATAATTGTACCTGTGATCATATCAAAGCTAGGGGCTTTCTTCGGGTTGAGGTTTGTACGAATTTCTTCAGCTACTTCTTTTGGTGTGACTAGCGGGATTGCGTCCTCATAGTCGTTTGGGCCGAGTTCAGGCAGTTCGTCTGGTCCTGGGTTAGGCAGGAACCTGCTTCTGAGGTGTTCCGCAAACGTTTCTACTTTAGCGTTGTTATTGCGGGCCCACTGTCCATCAGTTTTCAGACTGGGGTTACCTGTGTGATAGGGTGTTTGAGGTACTTCGTGCTTTCCACAGGGAGTATTCCTTGCTATGATGCATTTTAGGAGTGGGATCCCAGTTCGAAATTGATCACTTGGAAGACTGAGAAGGGAATGTGTCTTATAGAATTAGATTGTGATAATGAGCAGAGGGTGGAGCTGGCTGAGGATGATAATGGCATTGACATCTAAGAATTTAGAAGGAATGAGCAGAGACAAGAACTTTGACTAACATGATGTAATTTCTAAAGATGCTAAGCTGATACTTGATTGTGGTTAGCTTAGTTGATAAAGAAGTTTCTTCTTATTTAAATCTTTACTTCTTTGTGGGTCATTGATGAATTTTCAGAAAGAATGTTATTTCTGTGTACATTATCCTACTCAGGGTAGCTCTTTGGCCTAGTCAAGCTTGTGCCCACTGGGTATGTTTGGATATATGGCCTCATTTGAAATTGTTTATGTAATCATCTAGTGCTGAGTACTTGTGGAGCCTTACCTGTATGCCCATCTCCAAGCCATCATTACAGTGCATAGCCATATTCATATCTGCTGATTATATATGGATGATCTCTGATCAAAGTAAGAGAAATGCCAAGGCCCAACTACTGAAATAAAAATAGTTTAAGTAAGTCCTACTGTATTTTACTGAAAAATATAAGAAATATATGCATTGAATATGCCTAGATCATTTCTATTGCAGCTGCTTAATTTCAGGTAGTTTCTCTAATGATTTCAGTCTCCCACAAAAGAAAACTAAAGTTATATTTCTGAATAAAGAGAACATAATTAAAGAGAAGTGAACCAACAAAAGAATGAGAAAAATTATTCACTGAGGAACTTTATGATAGTGCCCTGCATATTTTTCAGTCATTGGAAAATGAGCTTTGAGGATGTTAACTGATTCAGGGTAGTTAAATGGTAGGCTTATGTGATGTTAAGTGAACACAGTTTTTTCTTCAGCAATTGAGTATTTTATTGGCTGTTCAAAATGTACCTTACCAGGAAGTCGTTTACTTAATTTCTGTATTATTTGTTATTAATTTTGGTTAGCTACATGGATGGGTTTATCAGAATTATAAGCATCGTCTCTCAGCTGACTAAGCAGGGGTACCCATTAGCTTTCTGCTGGCAATATTATATCTGAGAAAACAGTTTCATATACAATATAAGCCTTGCGTTATAATGAGGTGTGGAAAAATAAACACATTGCTGTTCAGACATATTTCCATTTTATTGACACTTTCCCCAAAGAATAGTACGGAACAGTTACTCGGGCCACCCGTCACTTGTGGAGGGATGTACAGTCACTGGAACTAAGTAACGCATGTGTTTGAATGTAAGCAAGGTCTAACTGCAATGAAATTTGTTTTTTCTGGATTAGTGATGAAACTGTCATATTTGTAATGTACTTTTGTAGTCAAAAAATTCCTCAGTCTCTCTCTCAAATCATTTTTCTCATTTTACTGCTTCTGACTGGCTCTGTTGTATAAACATTGTACTCTGTTATTTGCAGCATTTTATGTATCTACATCAGATAATGGCCGATGTTATTGGAGGAAACTGCAATAGCAAATTCCTTTATAGTATTAATAATTAGTGTACAAATGGCAAACCATATCTAGTAATTTCTATATGCTAATTTTTCTCATAAGAAATACTGGAATTTGATTTAATTTTATTATTAGAGGTGTGCTTATGTAAAATGATTGTATAAAATGTACATAGGGTATAATAGACTCTTGTGACTTAGCTAATATTTTATAAATATTTAAAAGAAATCAGTAATAATGAAAGCTAATTGATAAGATTGTAAATAAAATAAAAAATTCTTTATCTCTGATTCCCCATTAAATCATATCTGCACCATCATTCTAGCTCAGCTCCCAACACTGACTTAGTTACCAAAAATCAGACATTCCAATGTAGTGGTTAGCATTCTGCTTTGTATTATGGAGGTTGTGGATTCAAAAGCCAGCTTGGAAATCAGCTGTCCTGAATGGTTTTGGGCTTTTCATCAATTTCTCCAGACAAATGCCAGAATAATACAATAAAACCTATTTATAATGGACTTAACAGGGCATCTGAAAATATTTGTTTCTGTCCAACACCAGCACATTTCCAGATAATGACTGGAAAAGGCATAATTCCATAATATACCATATTTACGCATGTATAGGCCGCACATTTTTTGCCAAAAATTCAAGAGGAAAACTGGGGTGCGGCTTATATTCGAAATATTCGAAATCACACGTCATTTAAAGAAAATTATGTTCATAATTAGTAATACAGCGTGTAATACTCTGAAATACAAGAGGAAAACTGGTATTTTTTCTATAATTTCTGTCTGAAAATTGTGCTGCGGCCTATACACGCATGTGGCCTATACATGCTTAAATACGGTAATACACAGAATTTCCAGGGACACTTTTTGGGGTTTATTAACTTACTGTAAAATGGGAACAAAGGAGTAATGCAAAGTTGATGAAAGCTTCCCATATTGAATTTCAGTTAAATCTCTGTATGCTTTTATGGGATATGTGGAAAATTCTGTATATGGCCTTATGCAAAATAAGCTTTATTATTATTTGACAATTTTTATTGGAAGTCCTCCATACTGGATTTCAACAAAATCTGTGAATGTGATATATGGCTTGTAAGTAAATCAGGCCTTCCTAGGGATCAGTATGGTTGAATATAAGAATTGTTTATTTGGTTGGTTTCCAATGGCTGCATTTGGGATCATTTAACCCATTTTGCTTCTTGCTTCCCAATAGAGAGCACTCAAGTTCTTGCTTTGTGGCATCTGGAAGAAGTTTGCACTTTTCTTTTGGGAAGCTTTGCCTGGTTTGTTGTTCATTTTGCACTACCCAGGGGACATGTATGACTTGAAGAATGTCACGGACACAAGCAACCTTGTCCCCCATTTGGTGGAAGTTCCTACAGTAGCACACACTGTGAGACTATTTGTCAAATAGATTGAAAAGTGCTATATAGGCTCATAAAACAAGTTTGTCTAAAGGTTCAGTATGGTTGAAAATCAGAATTTCCTCACCACTTTTCACAGAAGTATTCTAGGTGTTGTCATTTCTGGTGGCTTCCTTAGCCAATTCTTTGACCATGAAGTTGGGAGTACTACATTTCTCTGAAACAGTGGTGAACTTCTGGGCTACGCAGCGTCACATCCCAGAAGATAGTACTCTCCATTATGAATGTGTTTCTGTGTGGTTCATTTTAAGAGCCTCTTGTTTAATGGTCTATGTGATCTTGAGATCTTAGACCTTGTTTTAAACATTATATGTGGCACTTTATACTTCTCTTTCCATCGGCAATTTTAATTTACTTAAATGCATTTTTAAAGATGTTACAGACAGCATTCCACTTAAAGCTTTACCTGAATGTTGGAAACTAGGGATATTTCACTGATACAGCAACTTATTGATAGGATATAGTCAAGGTGGTTCCATCACCATCTTCATCTGTCAGGGAGCCATACAAGGTGCATGAGAATTTGCCATCTGCAAATTGAATGATAGTTATGAAAGAATTGGAGAACTTAAATGGGGTTGCTGAACCATGAAGAGTGAATTTGTGCCTGAAGAAAGAAACTGTACACAAAATTAACACAACCTGTGGCCACAGCAACTCACATGCACAGTTAAGCAAGCAGGATGAGAAGGGATTTCGGCTAAGATAGTGATGTAAGTGGCCATCATCAGTGGCCGAAATTTTGCTTGTAAGGGCAGGCTTTTTTATTTGGCATCACATTCAGAACCATGAATATACGACCTTTTTTTCCGTAATATATTTCAGCATCCTGTAGCACTGAGGTATCACATGTAGTGAATGTACAAAATTTTAATGGCATTTTAAACATTTACCGAACATTTTGGTGAATTAAGAGTGAATTACTGTCATTGAAAATTTAAATTGATATTGTTGCATTATATACGGGAAACGAGACTAAAAGCGGGTCGTTTTTCAATATTAACTGTCGTCTGAGTCAAGCTTATAGCACCAAACCGCGACTTAATTTACTATCGTGTACAAGGTCTAGTATGTTTACTATTGCTCCAATTTCACGTCTAAATACGACAACCTCTGACCACAACTTACATAGTATCCGTGGTATCACGTGAAGATTGTAATGCTTGTGAAACTGTTCGGCGGGCAGTCATGATGATCATGATGATAATGATTGTTCATGACTTAAGTTGCACCCCCGTGCTCATGACGCTTATGACCGCTTATGACGCTCGTGACCTGATGACCATGATGACTGCAACGACTGCAACTGCATAAACCTTGACGATCCTTTAGACCGTTTAGACGCTTTATTAGACTGCGCAAGACAGACCAAAGAGCGTAGCACCAATTTAAAATACAGCAATTTGTATGCTTTTTAGGTTAGGTTTATTGTATCGTATATTACGTTAAAACAGGTTAAAATCATGAAGTTTTTAAACTAATTTTATGTAATATGCTGATAGTTTATCCTTGACTAAATTAGCGAAATTTGTCGTTAAAACAGTGTAGGGGAGACTAAATTTATGTAGTAATTTGTAGTGTGTTTTATTATTAAGGTAAGCCAAAAAAGGTTTTTTGTAATTTAAAGGTTTACTTCTGTGTTTCATTCGTTTGTTTATTGTATACATTGTGTGTAGTAAAGCCTACACGTAGTGTATTCTTGCCTTTAAACTTTCACCATCTACATTTTGAATAGTTCCATTCATGAATAAGTATTACATTTCAGAATGGGTGAATATGTGAATAAATGTTTTGTACTTAGTGACATATTGTTGTTTCAGATGACGTCTGCACTCACAAAAGAACAGAAAGAAAGGATTGAGGCAAAACGACAACTTGCATTACAAAGAAGAAACGAACGACAGAGACTTCAAAACCAGAACCCATCTCTCAGTAATGTAAATAGTTCATCAGATAAATCCTCAAATCCAGAAGAGTGTCATCGAACTCACGATCAACAATGTGTCATACCTAATACATGTATTGTAAAAAGGGATTCTTTTGCCTTAAATCCTTACACAAAACAAACTAGAAAAGAAGCAAACTGTAACCCTAGACAAACTGTACATAACCATAAGGTTTATTTTGGATCTAGACGATTTGTTCATCAAAGGAATAATTCTTTTTCCACTGCGGAAGTCGTCACTGGAAGCTGCAAACTTCTATCAAAGGAGAGATTTATTGTGGTTGTGCCTTACCAGGAACAATTGATAGACATATTCAAATCTCTTGGCAGCAAAATATATGGTAAGGTACCAAGCTTCTGTTGAACATTTTGCAGAACTGTAGTAAATTGTCAATCCTGTAACACTTGGCTGAGAACTTATTGGTGTACAGAAGTGTTCCTGCCACTTTTGGTATGGTACATTTTTGCAAGTTATGATAACAAATTATCCACGTTAGGTGGGTCCCTTGTCACCACGGCATGGTGCGTCCTCAGGTTGCGGATGGAGGAGATGCCCTCCAGGTATGGAGGGAAGCTGCAAATATATTGAATAAGCAGTCACGGACAGCTGACAAGGGGTGGTCCTCCATTTGGAGAAAACTGCATATTGAGCTCCATAACTTGTACTTTTCTCCAAATACAATTAGAATGATCAAGTCAATAAGGATGAGGTGGGCAGGGCATTAGCACCAATGGGGGAGACGAGGAATGCATATAGGATATTGGTGGAAAAGCTAGAAGGAAAGAGACCAGTGGGAAGACCAAGGCATAGGTGGGTGGACGGTATTAAAATGGGTCTTAGAGAGAGAGAGAGAGAGAGAGGATGGGATGGTATGGATTGGATTGATCTGGCTCAGGATAGGGACCAGTGGAGGGCTTTTGTGAACCTTTGCTTCCCATAAAATTGTGGAAAATTCTTGAGTAGCTGCAGAATTGGCGGCTCCTCCAGAAGAGCTCATCTCCATGAGTAATTAAGTAAGTATGATATAAATTATGTATATGCTAATACTTTCTGAATGCAAATTTAGAATATATTGGTATTTATATACCTTCAGTAATGGTACAGTTTGTAATCTGGTTAGAAACATATGAGTGTAAAGAGTTGTTCGTGATTACTAGAAAATTATTTCTGCTGTCATATATTCACAGCTGCTAACATTGCTTGATGGTGCCCGAGTCACCTGTTGGAGCAGTGCAAGTCCTCAGTCAGTAGTTTATCTGACAATGAGAAATTTGTTAAATGGACTGTGAATTGTTACTCTGCTTTAAAAAGCTTTTGTATTTCAGTAGGAGATAATATGTAACATTTCATTTAGTAGCATGCCTGTTCCTAGGTGCTTTTCCACTTGGTATGAGAATTTTTAGCAACCTCTTATATGAACTTCATACTGTTCTGTTTCTTACCCTAATAATTTTTTCCCCATACAAATTTTTGCAGTGATTTGAATTAAATTGTTACAAATTTTCAGAATACTTACACTATGGTTACTATGTATTTGAATTTTTTAGCATATGCATGATGTCATACAGCCAGACTTACCACAGAATTTGTGTTTTATTTATGCTTTGTAAACCCAGCACAAACAGAATGTCAAGTCATATTATTAGTTTTTAGTTTTTATTGAATTGTTCTAAACTGAGCCAGTGTATTACAAAATTCAGGCTTATTGGAAGACTGTAAGAATAAAAAGATTACCGTCTTTTGGAATGTGATGCTGTATATTTTGGTATGTGTGTTTACAAATCTGAATATAGTTCTGAGGGACAAGGATGCTTTTTTTGTGTGTGTTTGTGTGCATACATGTAGAGCAATGAATCATTGTGCTTCATTTTGCATGGCTGTACTTCAGACTTAATTTTTAAGGTGTTTAATTAGTTTAAATGAGAGTCAGAGGATACTGTATGATGTTGCCAAGTCATAAAAATGTGCTGTTTTGGACCTAGAACATCAAAGTTCAAGTAAATGTCTTGTCAATTCACAGCCCTTAGTTCTGTTTCTAATGGCACAACAAATTGTGACTTACCTCTGTTGTGTTTGAATCTTAGTATAGTGTAACTGCAGTTGCCTCTTGCTAAATTGTAGGACTACAAACAAACACCTTGGGAGCAGGAGAAGCCTAAGTAACTTGTCATCTTATTATGAAAATAAATTTACTGTAGTGGCAATGCAAACAGAACGGGGAGGATGCAGACTTGGTGGTTGCGCTAGCCCACCTATCCCTTATGTAACAGCTTTTGATTACACATTCAGTGTATTTTTCTGCCAATTTAAGAAACGGGTTTTGCACAGAAAGAAATGGCCCACGTTGATCGTAGTGCTGTGTTATTTGTATATACATGAATTCAGAAACTGTGTTTTTTCATCAGATCCACAAGAGAGAACATGGAACTTTGCCCTTGAAGATTATGATGTTCTCATGAGAAAAGTGCAGTGTCTAAAAGGGGCGGTGTCTATAAGTGGCCTACCAGATTATGTCTTAAAGGTAAGCTTATGGTCTAAAGGCATATTCACACAGTAGTAATTAATAATCAGCATTAATGTTGATGTGGGAACATCCCACATACATACACGCTGTTTCGCCAGTCTAACAGACAACACTCACTCCTAGGTCAATGCCGCACATTGCTGGCAATGCTCATATTTATACAGCACTCAATGTCCAAGCCACCTCTAGATCATCACATGCGCTAACCAATCACATTGCTGCCAGCGCTCGTATTTATACAGCACTCGCCATCCAGCCCACATTTAGATCACGTGCGCTAGCCAATCAGCGCTCACAATCACAACTGCAAGTTTTGCTCCGCCTATCAAGCATGGTATAAAAGGCTGAGCCCAAAGCTTGCAATTGTCAGTGATCACATTCAGTTCAGAGCGATCAGTCATCAGAGTCATCAGCTCTTCTTTGCGACCAGGCAACTGACGTAGTTGCTGCAAGTCTCCAGCAACCATGCACTGCGACCAGGCAACTAATGCAGTTTCCACAACTTCAGCAACCACACCGTGGACAGCTGTTTCTACCAGCGCATGCAGCACTACATCACTGGCCAGACAGGCCAGCTGAACGGCCGTAAAACTTGACCTACTATGAAGTAACAAACGGCCCTTTTCAGGGCTTGCAAACTTTCCGAAGTGGTTGTCTATTGGAACCTCGACAATCCCACATTGGTGACCCTGACTTGATAATCTAAATGTGGGTTGGATGGCGAGTGGTGGCAGCAATGTCATTGGTTAGCGCACGTGATGTAGAGGTGGGTTGGACATCGAGTGCTGTATAAATATGAGCGTTGCCAGCAATGTGCGGCGTTGACCTAGGAGTGAGTGTTGTCTGTTAGACCGGCGAAACAGTGTGTAAGTATGTGGGATGTTCCCACACAGTATTTTTGTTTTGTAATTTCTACAACATTGTATGCATCCTGTCAGTATGTGAGGCTGAAGGTGTCTTTACCATTTGCTGCATGGAAAAGTAGGAATTAGTTACAGTTGCAGAATTTATTGCAACAAATGATGTTAAATCTAAAGATATGGCCTTAGGAACCTGGGAAGTGTGCAACATTATATTTTCAAAAGACTGTACGAATTCCTGAAGGTAACTTTTGCTGACAGTTGAACTGAATCTGAATCTGAAGGAAAAATCTTACATGACTCCCCAGTAAGACAAAAAATATTTAATCTAAACATTCCATAGCAGAAAAGCACAATAAAATGAATAATAAGAGTATCATTTGTACCAAAATGTTCATTGCTTAAAAGCACAGAATTAATATGAGGCTTATTCGGATTGAACTTGTTTGTTTGTTTGTTTGTTTTTTTCATAAAGTAGTAGAGGCCATTAAAACTAGTCCCCATGGGCACTGATAGAGGCACCTGCTGATGAATACTCTTTGCAAAGAACTCCTTTGGCTGCTGCTGGAAGCACTGAAGCTTTCACATCTCTATCTGACCCAAATTTGTGGCCCTTTAGGGATAACTTTGGATTGCTGTATGGAGGATGGTCCAACCCCTTCTAGCACATGGAGCATAGTCCTGGACTGTATGGACTGCATGGGAACAGGCATTGTTGTGCAAAATGACACCCTTTGTAAGCATGCTGGGAGCTTTCTCTTTATAATGTTATGAAGGTCTTGACAGGGTTTCACCATAGTGCTCTGTGTTGATGGTGATGTTATGGTCCTTGACCACCAGCATCAGTGATTCTTGTTGGTCCTGTTTGCCCTGATGCCCCCGTTCTGTTGCATAGCTCATGGCTAACTGCTGGCATGTCATGCATACAGCTATATGATCTCTTGCAAATGACTGTATTCACTAACAGCATTGTGAGTGGGTTTTATTTGAACAGCCCTAATTTTTTTTTATGCTTCGCTTATACATGTCTGGAAATGTTTGTGAATACCAAAGACAAGAAGCACAGTTTCATTTGCACAGTTCAGGAAACTTCGCTAACTGACATAGCAAAATGTTAATCAGAATGTTAGTATTTCAGCAGTAATTGTAAAATATTGACAATTTTAAGAAATCATATTAACAGAACTCATTGTGGATGTACCTGTACTGGGGAATGGAGAAAATTGGAAATGGCAATCTTTAATTATTTATGTTCTTCACCAGGTAGTTACACTACTAAGGACAGCACTTAAATCAAGTCTGATGAAGCACAGATATGAAAACATGTGTAACTTTTTTTGCAGCAAAACATGTTGAGAAGCTCACTTGAGGGGTTAGTGCCCAATTGAAAAAATAGTATTTAAAGTAGTCATACAGAAATTGATGGGAATTTTGTTGAACTGCCTTAGAATAGGATCCAGCCATTTGTCGTAGTGGCAGCAAAACTTCAGTTTTCAAATTCAGTGGATTAGTAATTTTTGTGAAATAATTTGTCATAAATGGAAATTACATATGTGCTGTTGCTGTTGTCATGAGTGTCTTTAGCAGTGACATAGTGACCAGCAGCAATAGAATAGCAGTAGTTTTCTCTCATGGTGCCCTTTTAAAAAGCGTGAGTAAACCCAATGCTGTGGGATTTGCTATGGATACAGCTGTGCCTATTATATTTAATGAAAGAATATGGAAGATTTAGTTTAAATTATATTGTCACGTGTTTAATGTCTAGACACGGGGTTGGGATTGGTAACTGGATTTATTTTAGCATCACAAATCTTAAACACCGTTTATTATAGCACTATCACTAATCCACACTCTTTACAGTTCACTATTGCGTGCACCATGTCTTCTATGCCTTCACTATATGCTGCTGGGTAACAGCTCCCAGAACTATCCTCTGCTTCCATTGTTCAGCGACTCCTGTCCTTGCTAGCTGGTGTCCCCCATATGTCTAACCCATAACAGGAACTCATGACCTGGTCCAGACTGTCTGTGGGTCAGTTAGTCAGCTGAATGGTCGGAGGGCTGACCGCAACCAAGTTTAAGCCTCTTATACTTCCTATGTTTGTTGCATGTGTGTCTGTTGCTGGAGTCACAGGAGTTGGTTGCTGTGGAAACATGTTTACAGAACCGTTCCCTAGCAGTGACCATCTCTGACTTTTGCTCTTCTGGTTTTCAGCAGACATGTCACAACATGTACAGTGTTCCTTTTTAAGATTTTTTTCATCTTCCTGCAGACATTCCTTAAGACTTCACATGAACCAGAAAGCTTCAAGGATGTGGATTTATCAAGAATTGATAAAACTTTGCTGGATTCTTTGATGCCATTCCAGAGAGAAGGAATATGGTATGTACTTGCAGTAACAGAAAGTTGTTTACTGTCTTACTCATTTATTTGTTAACAACAGTGCATTACATTATTGCAGTGGCATATATTTGTGGTGTAGCTATCCAAGCATTGCATTTTTAAACACTAATACCACTATCCCTGAGCAAAAACATCGCAGCCATTCTGTATTTTGACAGTGTGTATCCTGTTTTGTATTACAAACATATGGTTAGGTAAGGTATCTGTCAACACAACAGAAATGGTTTTACAATCAGTATTTCACAGATTGAATTTTATTGCTTACTGCTATATGTTTCAGTCCTTATTGGACCATGACCAGGCAGTATTATATAATGCTACAAGGTTAATTGAACTCCAAATATGGATCCATATTTTGGTGCACCTCATCCATATTATGAAAGTCATAGAAATTGTTTGATGTGTTATGATGAGAATTACAATATTATCATTATCAAAATATCAGGAAATATACAAGATTCCTGGTGATGTTTCCATGAGAACCAAAACATATATCGGTAAGCAATAAAATTCAGTCTGGAATACTGATTTATTGTAAACCCATTTTATTGTTTTGGCAGATACCTTGCCTAACCATATGCCATCCTGTAATTCTGGGAGATGTAAAATCCCTTGTTCCTAGATGATAAACTTGCTCTCAAGTTAAAATCTGCTCACTAACCCCATACTACTGGGAGGTTTAAAATCCCTTTTCTTGGACAGTAATGGGGCACACAGTGGTGTAGGTGGTTGAAGCACTAAGCTGCAAGCTGGAAGGTTGCGGGTTCAATTCCTGATTAAGTCACTGGACTTAATCCTTTCAGCTGCTGTATGGCCCTGAGGCCAATTCTGCCTGGGAGGAAAGGACGGATTGCCAGCACCTAAGGCTGACAGCCTTACCGCCATCTGTGAGCTGATTGTCTAGAAAATATGGGAGTCTCGACATCTCTCTAGCCTGTGGGCCTTCATGGCATGTTACTGTGATGGCTTTACTTTTTCATTTTCTTTTTTCTCTCCCCCCCCCCCTATTCTTTGACAGTAAAGATTAAGGAGTGAAGCTCATACAAATGATATTTTACATTATTTACTCATATAGGTTATCTGCACATACAGCATTATTGATTCTTTGCTGTGAAGTTCAGTGAAATGATTCATTATTTTATTGAAGGATGCAGCAAATAAGTATAATCATATTGTGTGTGTGTGTGTGTGTGTATGTGTATATACTCTATATGCTTGTGAGCATGGGCAAATGTCTCTTACACTTAAGAACTTTGTAGAAGCGAGGGAAAGGTAGAGGTAAATTGTTGATAGTTTCTCTTATATTAAACCTATCACATGTTTGCTTCCTGTTTAAAAGGCCATATTTCATGCTTTATAAAATATTTTTGTGAATCGGTTTTCTTGGAGCATGCAAAGAAAAATTTTGAATATCTTTCTCTTGTTCACTGAGTTTCCTAATTTCTGAACTCAGTATAATGTTTAAATGCTTTTAATATTGCTGGTGGAATTGTTAGTCTTGTTATGAATCTATTCCATACAGACCACAGAAATTCCCTCTTTTAATTCACTACTCATTGCTTATTTATGCCTATATTTCGCCGCGCCATAGCTCAAGTGGTTAGTCACTGGCTTCCCACCGCAGCAGCCCAGGTTCGATCCCAGGTCTGGTCAAGTGGGATTTGTGGTGGACAAAATGGTGCTGGGGAAGGTTTTTTTCTGAGTACTTTGGTTTCCCCTGCCAATCTTCATTCCACCAATTGCTCCACAGTCACCCTCACATGTCATCTGGGGCTAGTACAACAAGGGACTTAGTCCCACCCCACTAGCATTAAAAAAGCGTTCCACAAGTTTCCTGACTCCATGAAATATCCATTTTCCCTTATGCTACTGACTTAACAGAATTAATCAGTTTTTTGTTTCAGTGTTAATTTCCACATTCTAAGCTACATTTTACAATGTGATTGCATTAATGAATTTCATTAATTACTTGTAGTTATTTATTCAGCTGGAAATAGGTTCAAAGAACATGAGAACCATGTCAGCCATCTTTTGATTCATCACAGAACTTATGATGCAAACAAGCTTTAGTGTGTAAATATTTAATGCCCATCCATTGCTGTTCCTTAAGACGTGACTCTTAAGGTGCATCCACATTACTCATGCTCGTGCTCGTGTGACTCGCTATGCTCGCCAGTAATGTGGAAGATATGACAAGTCACGAGACAAGCAAATTTTTTAATTTAAAAACTATAGCCAGTAAATTAAAATATGACTACAGCCTATACACACTATGAGTAAATATACTGATCCTCACATGCTGAGCAACTAAAGTAGTGTGGACAAAGATTTATGGGCACAAGTGAAAGCCAGACAAGTCTCCTGACAAGCACAAGTGTGGCGAGCATGAGCGTGAGTAATGTGGACGCGCCTTTAGGTTGCAACTGTGTGAGGCTTGGCACAGATAGGCTGCACAGGGTACTAAGTGGCCATGTATGCACATTTTTAGTGCTGATCCTGCTCTGAAGTATATACAGCACTGATTTCTACATTGTGACCACCATTTTTACATTTGGAGATCTAAGACTTCAAATGCTGGGAAGAGAAAACAATTTGTGAATAAATACTGCAGTAAGATTTTTCATTTCTTGTCGTGAGGATTCATATTGTGGTCTTCTGGGTCGTGAAACAGTTGTAATCTGATAGGTGGATACTTAAAACTACAGTATTTTGTTATGTACTCAAAAAAGACGTTTATCATCATGAGGATCTAGAAGAAAGTGGTCATGCACTATGAGAGGGTGCTGTTTTACATATAACTAGAGGGACTGTTGACTGACCTTGGTGAGGAGAGTTTGTTTCCAGGCTGAGATGCAACTGCAGGAGGTTTCTGAATGCAGAGCAGAAGTACCAACTACAACACTACCACAGTATATTTAGTAGAAAGCTTTACTTGTGTGAATTTATACACATCTGTATGAAATTTACATCACAGAGATATTAATGGAAACATTTTGTTAAATTTTTATTACAGTTTTGGTATTTCCAAAAAGGGTTGTTGCCTTCTGGCAGATGACATGGGGCTTGGGAAGACAATTCAGTCTTTGGGAATTGCGCACTATTACATAGAAGATTGGCCTCTCTTGATAGTTTCACCTTCTTCAGTCAGGTAAGAATGGCAATTTACTACATAGCTAATAGTGAAAAAAAAAAAAAAAAAAATTGGGAATCCATAACTGGACTTACACAGGCAAAGGGACTTATATCAGGACCCTCTGCCAGAAGAACGAAGGATCTGTTGAAATTAAACAGAGACCAACTAAGATGGGTGGTAGGACTATTTACAGGACATTGTCACCTAAAAGGACACCTTTCCAAACTGGGATTGACAGATGACCCCACTTGTGAAACGTGCCTACAAGAAGATGAATCAGCCACACTCATCCTATGTGTTTGTGAGGCCATAGCTTACTTAAGATTTTGTCACCTGGGCCAGTTCTTCATGGAACCACGTGACTACTATGACGACCCCATAAATAAAGTCCTACATTTCATTTGAAGTGTAGGATTAAAAAAGGGCTAAACAGAAGGGGAAACACAGTAGATCATTGAAGGTCGCGGTGCAAGGGCCAGATTATTTTGGCCTACATTCTTACATTCTTTCATTCATTCATTCATTCATTCATAGCTAATTGTGATTATTAATGTTAAAAATTTCTGCTCTGTGAAAATGGTGAGAAATAGATGATGAGCTGCTCATTCTGTTGCTTCAGATCCTCCTTTCTGCGTTGGGTAGACGCTGTATGTCAGATGAACTGCTCATTCTGTTGCTTCAGATCCTCCTTTCTGCGTTGGGTAGACGCTGTATGTCAGAGGCAACATTGGGAAATATTTCTGGTTCTGTGTTGACTGATCTTCATCTTGGTTTTGGCCTTTGGGAATTTCCTGAAAGAATATGCAACTCATGTATATAAATTTAAACATCTCCGCCCCCCACTTATGTTCCATTTCATAAACTGTACTTTACGGTCTTTGCGTTTGTACTCAAATAAGGATATACAAGACACTTTTTTAATTTTCCTTATTTTGATATTTTTTTTTTATATATTTTCTCTGTAGTTGTGCTCTTTCTGTGAAGTATAGTAAAATCTGCTTGCAACAGAATCTTATGGTACCTGGACATTTTCTCATTTCAGCCGGGTTTCTGTACAACACAGGTGCATTAAAAAACTTGCATAATGTATTTATTTACAATTCAAATCACAAGTCCAAAATTTATGCTTTATGCTGCACTATTGTTTAGAAGTACATATTTTCATGTAAGATTTGAGATTTTCATGGCAGTGACTATGAAGAAAGCAGTTTCTGGGATGTAGTCAACTACACTCAATCTGTTGCACCTGCTCATGCTGGTTCGCTTGCGGATTATTTCTTGTCTTCTACCCTGAAGATGAAGGCGATACATTCCTCCAAAACATCGGTTAACACAATATCTACACGGTGCCACATCCCAGAAGACTGCTTTCTACATATTTTCAGTTTTCTTTCTTTCTTTTTTTGATTGTTTTCCATACATCCATTATATTATTCTTCACACATTTTGTGTAAGACTGCTTAATTTTCTTCCATTCAAGACAGCAATCAGTGTTCTTCTTAGACAGCGTTTAGGAAACATGGAACAAATTTATGTATATGAAAAGAAAAAGATTTTCAAGGGGAAAATTTTTTGTCAGATTCTGATTGTTTAAGGTTTTGGTCTCTTAAAGCAGTGAGTATTAAGACTACAGTCTTCTGGGATGTGATACCACATGAGTGAATGAATGTATAAGGTGTAGGTCTTCTCAGCCCTTGCACTGCGACCTACAGTGGTCTATTGTGCTTCTTGTGATACCACATAGTCTGGTAGGTAGGTACTGATGTTTTGGAGAAACATGCTACCTCCATCTTCAGGGCAAAGAATGTTGATATTTATCTACATCGGTACATGGTGTCACATGGATGGATGGATGGATGGATGCCGCACATTTCTCTGAAACATCGGTACCTATCTACCAGACTACATGGTGTCACATCCCAGAAGACAATAATCTTAATTTTGTTGTCTTTTCCTTGTATTTTTGTGTTACATAGTTCCAATTTCATAGAGGTATGTTTTCAAAATAGATTAATTTTCTAGTGATGACAGGTTGTGATTTACAGCAGGTTCTGTTGCACTGCATTAACACACATGCTTCCACACACACACACACACACACACACTCTCTCTCTCTCTCTCTCATTCACAGTGTCACTAAATAGACCTTATAACTTAATTTAAAACTATTATGCATTTCCTGTTTTGATCCAGATGAACATGTTTCACTTGTCCCAGCTCTTTGCAGGGGTCTGAGCGAACAAGGAATGTTAAAGAGTTTTGATTCCACAGGTACCTTTGGGCAGATGCCATCATGACGTGGCTCCCTAGTGTGCCATATCACAGTGTGATGGTCATGACAGCAAGCACTGACTATGTGAAAGATGCACGAGTTCTTATAACTTCATATGATATGATGACTCGACGACAGAATGAGCTGATGGAGATGGAATTTGGCATGTGTATAATGGTAATTAGATTATGCAAGGGTGCTACCAGAATGTTACCAAATGAAGTATGTGACTGATTGAATCATTAATCGTACCTAATCTTTACTCATCCTTTTTGTATAGTGTATATTAAAACATATTTTCTCTTTATTACTGCTGAACTTATTGCTACAAGTGATAACAAGAATTTCTAGACAGTTTCATTAAAATTGAAGAACACATACTAGACACAGGGGATACACGGTAGCGTAGTTGGTTGAGGCACTATGCTACAAGCTGGAAGGTTGCGGGTTCAAGTCCCGATGAGGTCATTGGATTTTTTCAATTGACTTAATCCTTCCAGCTGCACTATGGCCCTGGGGCGACTCAGCCTCTAACAGAAATGAGTACCAGGAATTAAATAATTTTCCCAGGGAGTAAAGTGCAGCCGGCGCGTAAGGCTGACAACCTTATCGCCATATTTGAGCCAGTTGTCTAGATAATGAGAGACCCTCAACGTCTCACAACCCTATGGGTCTTCACAGCCTGTTACAGGGATAGCTTTACTTTTTTTTACATACTAGACAGATTGTTGTAGCAGTAAAACACTTGACTTGTTTTCAGGAAATACATGGTTTCTTACAGCACTCAATTTTCCCCCTTATGTATCATAATCTTGCTTGTGTGTGTATGTACGTTTTTGCTGACTTGAATTTTATTTTAATATTTTTATCCAACCCTTTATTACAGGATGAATCTCATTTTCTGAAATCATCGAAGTCGGCGCGCACACAAGCTGCGTGTAAGTTGCTGAAAAACGTCAAGCGGGTTTTGATGTTGAGTGGTACTCCTGCTCTTTCCAGACCTATTGAGTTGTATCCTCAGATATCAGCCATTAATCCAAAGTTGTTTCCTAGGTAATTGCAGGTGCTGTTGTCTGTTTTGATTAATATTTGGATTATTTGACAACACTCTTTGTAAATTGCATATGTTTTACATGCATAGGATAGGATGATTGTTAATGATTAGTTGGAGAGGATATGAAAGGAAGCACTGAGGTTGCTGGTCATAAGATTGATGAAGGTTTACAAATATTACATTTATCTTGGTATTCCTGGTTCTCACTTGCCTTTATGATGACATAAGTAATTCATCAAAAGCAAAAAAATTCATGAACTCTTACAACAGTATGTTCCATGTCATACAGATGTTGGCATTATGTACCTAACTAATGAACAAACTAATGGCTCACTCTAATATCAGAGCCTGTTATAGGACATGATCCTGATCTATTTGCATTCACCTCTCACCCTATTTCCCTTAGGTCCATATTAATGTTATCTTCCCATCTCCTTTGCAGTTATTCAGGTGGTATCCTACTAAAATATTATATACATTTCTTTTGCTCATTATCAACATTTCTGCTCCATCATGACCTTGAGGTCACTACTCTAATGATGTGTAAATAAATTAAATGTGTCCTCTAACATTGCCAGGAACATAAATGCCCTCTGTGTGTGCACATTTTGGCCGCGCCCTAGCCCAAGTGGTTAGTCGCTGGCTTCACACCGCGGCGGCCCGGGTTCGATCCTGGGTGTGTTCAAGTGAGATTTATGGTGGACAAAGTAGCGCTGGGGTAGGTTTTCTCAGAGTACTTTGGGTTCCCCTGCCAATCTTCATTCCACCAATTGTTCCACAATCACCCTCACCTATCATCTGGGGCTGGTACAATAGGCCAGAAGTGGCCGCAGTACAAGGGACTTAGTCCCACCCCACTAGCAATAAAGAAAGTGCATATTTTGGGATCACGCACTTCTGTACATATTAAGCAGTGCTTGATAGAAGAAGAGAGAAAGTAACCTGATTTTCTTGCTGTGTCATTAAAATATTTTTTTAGAGGAAGTACTTGTATCTTAGTTGCTTTCTTACATTGGATTTAAGTGCACTGATAGAAAAGGATGTCACTGCTGTGGGAGAGAGAGCTTGTGAACTGTTGTTGAGCTTCTGGTTTTTCCTTGTGGCTTTATGAGGCAGAATTTTGTCACTTTCCAGGGATTTGCCTTGAAGGACTTGAATGAATTAAGATATTTCATTTCCTCACCAAATCATTACTCTCTTTCACAAAACATTTTTATTTCAGTTTCTTTGAATTTGGTATGCGGTATTGTGCTGGAGTAAAGAACAGTTTTGGTTGGGATTTCAAGGGCTCATCAAATATGAAAGAACTTCAGCTTCTTCTGGAGAGACACCTTATGATTCGGAGATTAAAATCAGATGTTATTTCACAGCTGCCATCAAAAGTGAGGTGTGTATGAGCTTCAGCATACATGATTTTCTCCTTTTTTTCTCTGTAAGTACCAAAAATACAGATTTTTCATTTTTCTTAGGCAAATGGTAATCCTGAATCCAGAAGTCATTAATTCCAAGAGCAAAGATATGAAGCGTTGTGTTGAGAAATTGGATCAAGAGTATTTGACAGGAACAGAAAAGAGAGGCGCCCTGCTGAAGTACTACTGCGCTACAGGGAAAGCTAAACTGAAAGCCATCCGGTGAGTAGTGTTCTAGAACTGTCAGTAAGTGCTATGAGAGTGCTCATATGGAAATTAGATATATTGCATGAGGTCTTTGTAGTTTTGTCTCAAGATGCATAGCAAGACAGCATCACATGTCGTTACATATGTCTCCTCCTCCCTTCCCCCTCACCTCCAAAGAATTTTGTGATCAGGAATTTGGATAGACTTGAAAGGAGTCTGACGATGGTGTATACTGTACTTCTTTTGGCTTATTTTGGACTTCACCCATCGTCCGGTATATAAAAAAGACAAAAAAAAACACAACATTTCGGAGACTGGATCTGTCTTTNTGAGGATTTATTGCCTCGTGGAAAATATCACAGTACAGTGACTTACCTGTAAAATTGAAACATTTTCTCTGAAAATCTGTGTAGCTCCAAAACAAGCTTTAAACAGAGCAGTGTGCTAATGAATGCAAATGGAGTAATTTAAGTACTGATTTGTCCATGAACTATAAGCCCTTCCTGAAGTATCGTGCTTGAAATTATTGTTGCATGTAAATTGGTAAGGTGGTATAATACTTAGTACCAAACCACTTGATGGTAATCCTTACAGTGAGTTAAAATGTATGGTGAAGCATGAGTCAATAACAAAGGGACAAAAGCTTGTTTTATTGACAGCTTTATGAAGTAAATTGGGATTTACTCCTACTGATAACTCTTAGTCAGGGAACCAGGATAGTACAGTTGGTATAGAGACTGGCTGTTGGCTGGATGTCTGAGGGGTTGGAGTTCATGTCCCAGTAGGGGCAAGATTTTCCACCTCTACACATCATCCAGACTGGTTCTGGGGTCCACCCATCCTCCTATCCAATTGGTACCAGGGCTCTTTCCCTGCGGTTGAAGCTGATCACCCACCTCTGACTAGTGCCAAGGTCAAGAATACATGGATCTATACATCAGCTCCCCCTCATGTCTTCATGGCATAATGCTTAATTAGTTAAGCATAGGGACAACTTTACCATTTACCTCATAACTGTCAGTCTTTGGCGACAGCATTTATTGTTGCTGTCCCCTTTCATGTGTTAGAATTAAATGTGATATATGTAAGAGATCTTTTTATATTAATTTTCAAATTAAAAAATGAGGGTGTGCGAATTATACATTAGTATCAGTAATGCAGTGTAGGAGGACTGTGGTAGTTTATACTGCTTTATAGTGTCACGTCATCTGTAATGTGATACTCTGTAACTTCAGCACATGATTTGGAATTATTAAGTAACCTAAAATTTAACAAAAATTGTTTTCTTGTTTATTTACCATATCAGACAACCTGTTATTTAACATTAAATTATAATTAGTGCATATAGATAATCAGTTTACTGGAAGATCTTTGTCTCAGTGGGACAGTTTTAGCTATAGCGAGGCCAGCGTCATATATCTTCAGCACTAGAGCCCTATAATGCACTTACTATTGTATTTTTGAATGCTGTATATTAATTTAATTGGCAGTGCAGTTTTAAGTAAGACAAGAAACACTCATGTATTTTGCATTTTCAGAGACTATATTGGTGACATGCTTGATAGTGAGAAGAAGTTCATTTGTTTTGCCCACCACAAAGTTGTTCTTGATGGAATTTGTGAAGTAATTCGTGAGAAGAAGAAAGAGTAAGTGGTAGTGCATATTTGCACTCTGTCAAAGATCCTGGAGAGAATGCTGGGCCTTTACTGATTTGGACTGTAGGAAGCAAGAAACAGACAAATCATCTCTCCTACTATTAGCCGCTTATTCAGAGTTCTGTTGAATTGCTGTGGATGAAAACAATTTTATTACTTGTATCTGTTGATGTACTTCACTTTTGTAGAATAAATATAATTAATTTTATAGCAAGTTGGTTGTACACTTAAACTGAGTATATAGGCTGTGCCATAGCTCAGGCAGTTAGTTGCTGGCTTCCCACCATGGTGGCCCAGGTTTGAGCCCAGGTCAAGTGGCCTCTGTAGTCTAGGGGTAACGTTCCCACCTCATGACTCAAGGTACGCGGGTTCACACCCAGTCGTGGAATTTTTAAGGGTGGAAAAATTCAGGGAACAAGTCCTCTGGGAGGGACTTTAAGCCATGTGTCCCATGTCATAGATTTACGGCACGTAAAAGATCCTCATGTCTCCAGGAGACCTCTGAGCAAAATTAGGCAAAGTTTCCTGCCCAAGTAGTTTCCAATTCCTCCGGTAGATGGGGAAGTATCGGGGACCACTGCCAGAGAGGTGGCCGACCTCGCTGGCAGAACAGGGCTGATAGTGAGCACCAGTACTGGAAGGGCATGGCGACTAGTAGAATAATTAAAGGGGGATGCACAATAGATTAACAACTAGTCACAGTGCATGGGAAAACCCACCCCCTCCAAAATAATAATAATAATAAATAATAATAATAATTGAGCCCAGGTCAGGTCATGTGGGAATTGTGGTGGACAAAGTGGCACTGGGACAGGTTTTCTTTGAGTACTTCAGTTTCTTCTGCCAGTTCTCATACCATCAGCTGCTCCAGATTCATCATCATCTATCATCCGGTGCTGGTACAGTAGGCCAATTAGTGGCCGATGTACCAAGTGGACTCAGTGTCACCCCACGCCCAAGAAAAAAACTAAACTGAGTAATTTTGACAATTTTTGTGTTTGTCTTGATTCCGTACAGCTTTCTCATTTGTGCATATTCATAGATAAGCATTTACTTCACAGAGGGAGTGTTCTCAATCGATATAGCCAACCATCTTAAATTCGAAAATTGTCACCAGAAATAACTGAGTTGGCATTATCTGCTTTCCACCTATTACTTTGCATAGTCTATAATGGTTAGTTTTCCAGCTTTGAATTTTAGAGGCCCTGGATTCAATTCTTTGGGCTGCCTGTCCTGGCTGAATTTTTCTATAGTTTTCCTTAGTCCTGCCATATAGGTGCTCATATTGTCTGTCTAAAGATCTATGAGGATACATCATACCTTGAGTTAGCAGCATTATGGAATGAAAGTTCTACGTGTTCACTGAGATGTCCATTATGGGGATTTGACATCCTTCTGAATGTTGAATATAAAATCTGGTAACTTTTTAATGATATAACAATCTGTGCCAGTGTGTGATGATGAGGTAGCCTGTAAGATGTTTTAGACACAGTATATAGAACCTTGAAAGGTGCTGTGAACTTCTTTCACATCTTTTGAATTCACTATTCGTGATCATTAACACCGTGAACTTTGTCAATGAGGAGAGAATAACATTATTATTAACAGGAAGGAAAATTGCTGAATAGTAAATTTGTTCATTTGTATTATGTTCTGTTTTCTTAAGTGCAGTAAATTAACACATTCAAAGATGAGAATTAATTGGTCTTTTTTTTTTTCGTGAACAGGTTTGTGAGAATTGATGGAAGTACTGAGTCGAGTACACGCAAACTCCTTTGTGATAAGTTCCAGCTTGAAAGTAAATATGTGGCTGCAGTATTATCCATTACAGCAGCAAATGCAGGCATTACTCTTACTGCAGCCCACTTGGTTGTATTTGCTGAACTGTACTGGAATCCTGGTGTAAGTTAATTGTTCAGTGATTTGTATGAATAATAAAACAGATGTTTATATGGTATTTCTAAACGAATACTTACTCAGAAGATTTGTCTGCATCAGTGATGCTTAAATTTGCTCTTACCCTGTGCCACTTTTTTTCAGGGCAGGAATATGATGTACCACTGAGTCATCTATGCCTTCCTTAAGTCAGGTTACTACAAAGTGTGCCAAACATTTAAATTTAAAATAAATAAATTTTGTTGTCTTGAAAATTAGTATATTCATTTACCATTTTTAGGGCCATATTACATGTGCCACATGTTAATCACTAATGTATGATATGAGCTAGGATAGATCAGTTGCGGCTGGGTGACAGATGAACAGGATTTGGCATGTGACACAAACAGGATCCTTCATTTTGTCTCCACGTAATGCTACAAATAAAATTTTGAGAGGACTACTCCTTGTGCACTCATAAGGAATAAAGTTACTCTTATGTCTAAGTGTTATTTAACTAACATTTTCATTTATGAATACAGGAAATATGAATAGTTAAATGAATTTTTTCTTTGTATATCTAGATCCTAACACAAGCTGAAGATCGAGCTCACCGAATTGGCCAAGACGACAGTGTTCTGATCCAGTATTTGGTAGCGAAAGAAACTGCTGATGACCACATATGGCCCCTAATACAAAGCAAACTTGACGTTCTGAACAAGGCTGGTCTTAGCAAAGATAATTTCTTAGATACTGAGACCAGTGTCTTGAAGGTAATTTGCTATGTGTATCCAGTTTTTGTGTCAGATCTTAGGCCTCACAGTTGGAATATGAGAATTGCATGGGAAATAATGGCGTTAACCAAACAAACTCTATTTGCAGGCAGTGCTTTGCTCGTTAAGAAATATCCAGTCTTTTATGGAATCCAAAGGTTTATTACTGTGTTCAGAAGGACCTGTCACAGCACCCTAACCTGAGTCAGCAGCATCACATCCCATTTCTTTATAATCCGTTTTACTATCCTTCCATACCAAACAAACTGGTCTAGAGGTAACAGTCTAGACCTGCATTCAGAAGATGTTCAGTTTGATTGAGTTGGGACACTGGCTAGCCTGATTGAGGTTTGTTATGGCCTTCTTCAGGCACTGGGGGTAAATTCCAGGATAGTACCTTAATTAGGCCATGACTGCTGCCTTCCATAGCCTTCAGATTCATCATTCATTCATCCATCATGCTACCATCTAATGCTATTTCAGAAACACTGAAAAGCACAAATTTGGTATTAAAATAGACTGCTTCTTGTCTTCTGCCTGTGTTGTTAACAGATCTGCATTTCATGTGCACAGCAGCAAACTTAATAAATTTGTTAATAAATATTCAGTTCACACAGGGAAGAAGATTTCATTCATCAGCCACTATGTACAATATGATGCATACTGTAGGACAGTTGACAATTTTCTTGTCAGTGCTGTATAATACATTTGTGAAGTTCAAGTTACTGTATTTGCTGGAAGCCATGTTAAAATTTTGCTGTTAGTGACTAAAGTTCTGTGACAGTTTAAAATGAAACTGGAAAGCCTAGAACATAAAATTTTATATAGAACTCCTCTGCAGGAAACTGCTGAATAGAAATGTTATAATGAGGAAATTTATAAAACCCAAGAAGTGATTGCAGCGGCAGTGCAGGTCTTCGATAACTGCTGAATACTACTTTTGNAACATAAAATTTTATATAGAACTCCTCTGCAGGAAACTGCTGAATACTACTTTTAATGTTATTTCTGTTCTTGGGTTCTTACAGCCAATTCTTACAGCATAACAGCTCAGGAACAGAATTAACATCAGGAATTAACCACCATAGAAGCCTGAAGTCAGTGAATACTACTTTCTAAATGTTAACATAATCAAAATGAGTCAACTGATCATATTTCCTTATAGGACATACAAGATGTATAAAGTACAGATATTTTGTTTCCGAGCTTTTTATGTAATTGATGAGATACTGTCAGTATCTTGTTTCCTGTTACTTTCTAATCTATTTTGTTTTTATTTCAGAACTTAAGAAAACAGCCCTCAATCCTTAATTATTTTTCTGAAATATCTTTATCAGATGATGAAGTAGCCGATGACATGTTAGCAAGCCTTGACTTGGAAGAGTTTGAAAATTGTGGAAAGAAGCCAAAGCTCAGTTAGAATTGGAAAGGAATGAGTGCTTGAAATATGACTCTTCATTAAGCAGAATGGTACCTAAAGATGTCAATAGAGGTGTCGTTACAAACATAGTGTTGTGTGTCTTTATACATTACATGTTTCAGGAAAACTGTCTTGCATGATTGAACTTGTATATTTACTATCTCATTTTCATTTTTTGTCTGCTATATATGAATCTCATTTTCATTTTTTTATGTCTGCTATATATGGAAATTTGATAAGGAATTGTATAATTGTTGGAGATGTGCTCATTGAAATGTCTGAAAGGTTTTATGAAAAAATCCAGTGTTCCATCTACTTGTAATATTAACAGACAGATCCATTTTCTATAAATCTTGCTGGCAAATGAATGTGAAATTTAAACAAAGTAAGTCCGGTGGTCTTCCTGTCTTGCCTAAATTATTTCCAGCAACAATTATCTTATTTTTTTTCATCAGATTTTAGAAATATATTCAGTATTCTTTGTATAAAACATAATGTAACTTAGATCTGAAGTTAACATGTATACTGTGGAATCGT